AGGTTCGTATCTCAGGTGGGCTGTGTAAGCCGAAGCAAAAGCTGAGTGAAAAGCGGTGAGACGGGGCAATGAATTCATTCTTCTCATTGCGCTCAGTACATGACGAACAGGCAAAAACGACCTTGTCAGCGGCACCATTGTGTGTCCCGCATGCAATACAAACATTACTGGCACATCTGAGATGAAGCGTGGCATCCTCGCGAAGAGAAAGGAACTGCTGAATAAGCTCGGCTACAAGCACCTTGATGCTGACACCATCGAGAGAATCGGCAGCCAGAGCAAGCAGTTCCGCGAGGAATCCGCCCGAGGTTATCGCAGCCCTGAAGGCGATCACATCGGAACTGAAAGGGCAGCAGCTGAAGAGAGCCATCGGCCTGGGCTACACGCTATGAGAACGACGTGCAGTTCGTTGAACGGATGACCGAGCACAACATTACCTTGCTCGACATCCAGTTGCGTGACATAGTGGCTCACGGCCATCTTCCCACGCCTCCACGCACTCGTGCTCAGGTTGATCTTGGAGTGGGATTGCGAACCGCCAATGACCTGAACTTTGCGAAATTGATGCACGTTGACGAAGACATCGCGGACATCAGAAGCAATGATCTCTTGGAACGCTTTGAACACTCCCATTGGGTGATCATCTGAGCGTGAGCTCTATAGTCTCAAGGAATTCCAAGATCTCTGCGATCATCGCAAGACCCGGGAGAAAAGGAACCAACTTGTTGACCTTTAGCTGCGTCATGGAGGTCATTGAGACGCCTGCCTTGAGAGAGCTTTACGAGACCATTGACAGCTCCCTGCCAGCCAAGAGCTCGTGCAAAGCAAGCGTCAGCAGAGCGAGCGGGCAGCTGAGAGGAATGCGGCGAAGGGTCGTGGCAAGACCAGCAGAACTCCTGTTACTGGGCCACATACGCCTCCAAAGGCCGCACCCAGCCAACGGGTGCCCTAACTGCTGAGCCGGGAGAGAGCTCACCAAGTGCTGGCATCAATGCGATTGGTTCGATCGACATTCGCCAAATGCCAACGGCAAAGTTTCCTCCGAGCCCACCGACTACCTTGCTGCAGCCACGCCCCAAAGACGCCGCCGCTTCCCTCACCAGCATCGACTACAACATCCAAATCGGTGCCTGTATGAGATGCAAGAGAGGGAGCTCTCCGCACAGCTCGTGCTGCTGCCCGAGAGCATCAAGATGGCGACCGCTGGGGAAACTACACCTACTACCAGGGCCAATGGTGGACGCGCGATCGGTACGGGCGGTGGTCGACTGGAAACTGGCGATCATACTAAATTCGAGCTGCATGCATTCTGAGCATATGCCATAGAGTGGTCTTTAAAAGAAGATCCACGCTGGCATCAAAGCTTAGCCCGATCACAGCTGCTAATTCACGCGTCGCCAGTGAAAGCAGAGGGGGTGTTGAAATACATCACCTAATGCTATGCTTTTACGCACTGTGCCAATTCTTGGCTCAAGCACGCAGCTCATCGCGACAAAAGGAGCGCTAGCAGTTGCAGCTTAGCGGAATTTGACTGTATTTTAGTGGTTGAGCCTGAAAATACAGTTTGTTAACTTCAAGTGGTGCAAGAATAATCTAGCCCAAGTATACCTTTGGCACATGGATCTATATATGTGCCTCAACATAATGTATTCGTTCAGCCGGGTTACAACATCGTGTTTGTCCGCCAGGAATGCATGTTTGACAAATGTAAAAGTCCGCAAAATATATTTAAAGTACCACTGACTATATGTATGTAATCTACAATATGCACAATGGTCACCGTGGTCGTTGCATGATTTAGTAACTTAGTATTCCTTCTTCACCACCACCACCAGAAAATACACAAAATAATCGCGCCGCGTACAGTATCGTTCCATTGCCAAAATTTGCAGTGTGTTTGACAGGAGGACATGCACGCATATCAAACAACAGGTTGTGAATGATACAAATTCGGTTGTGAATTGCAGACCTGATCAACACTTGCCGGCTCATTTAATAGGGCTGCACTCCTTCATTTTGCATGTATTATGGGGCTAGCATTTCGCAAAACCGTAGGCTCAAGTTGAAACAAAACCGTTTCTGTAAAGTGCGGTTTCAACCGCCAAGGATTTTGAAAAAACCATTTTGCGAGTGCACAGCTTTGATGTCCTTGTTGTGTGTGCTTTGTATTTAGCAGGAAGTCACCTGGACTTTGGACATTTGGAACATCACACACACACAAATGTTTTTGATCCAAATGTTGGAGTATAAGAGTGAACACTTTGCCAGTTTCGTGGGGCTAGGGGCATACGTTTACTGAAGATTGAAGATAACTATATAATCTTGTGAATTTTGCACAGCGATGCAACAGCAACATGCTTACATTCGCAACTATTTGCCCTTAATGCCCCATAATCCTTGCATTTGGTATTGCAAAACTTCAAAACTGTCAATTTCACTCAACTTGTTCCCATAACGGTCTTGGCACTCTGAGACCATTGTGGGACAATTTCAGCCTCCATGCCATTCTGAGCAAGTGTTTAGCCAATCACTCTCTGAGAAGGTATTTGGATCCACAGGGTAAGGCTGACGCTAGACTTCCAGAAACTTAGACAGAGAATTTGAGCGCAAAGAACAGATTACTGCTAAAAAGTACACTGTTTTTGCTGCTAGTATTTCCTGCTTGAAATAGTACACTCATGCTTGGAATATGACCTCAGGTACGGTCAATTTAGGATTTGAGGATTGATGTCAGGTTCTTCAATTTAGGCTACCCTGCAGGTTGGGACCACCATTTCATGTCTATAGAAGCCCTCCAGAATGGAGAGGGATATGTCCTTTAGACTACCTGTTATCAAAGGATCCACTTGTCAAGCGGCGGAACAAAGAATCACCTGACGCAATGGCTGGAAACATGGTGCGTTGGTCATCTTGCAGTTGCGAGCAGTCCTTTGCGCGAAAGGCACTGCTGCGGAACCCGGAACCGGATGCAATTTTCGGACATGACAGAGGGAAGAGACGTGTCAAGTTGAAAATTTATCCCTATGCGCAACAAACACTATCAGGTGAGGTCCACTGTGAAAGGATGCGTGTCGAATTTAAGTGACTCACTCATGTGTGAGACAAGTCTGGGGGCAACAAGAGGTCCAATGTGTTGGAAACAAGTGGAGATGACTCACATGGGCGATGTGCTGGAACCAGGGCAACTGGGGGCAACACCGAGGCAACAAGGCCACAAGGGCGTTTGAAGAGGATTCTTTCAGCAACTGTTTATTCTAACAAGAGAACCCACAGAAACAGTATACAGGGGGCGTTTTAAGTTTGGGAAGTTGGGAAAGTTGAGATTTGGAAGGTTTTCTTTCTGCTCAGGCCGACCAGAGCATCCAGTGCGATCTTTGTTCAATGGCGGATACGACATTTTTCTGTGCGGACGCACTGTGCAGCCGCATTGTTTGCGGGCAGCTGTTTTCTGAACAATTGCTCAGCTTACTGCGTCAGGAAACTGCATTCAACATTGCAGGTATTTAACATCAAATCTTGTGACTATAGATGAAATATTATACATGAAACGAGGTTTTGATTTCCACCGATGTTACCACTGCTTCGAGCCTCTAATGGCTCTTGTTGTTTCGACATCCGAAGTAGTTTTGCATGCATCCTCATCCGATACCGGTTTCTGAGGGGGATGCACCAGTATGCAAGTTTTGTTGGGTTTCCACCAACCTTTTGCCAGGCGAATGCTAACCCAAGAGGATCGACACATTTTCCGACAACTGAACAAAACACTGGCAGCCCTGAGAAGACAGCCAAATGATTACTTCGTGTTTGAGGTCACAGGATAGGGTTGCACGAACGAGGGTTTGATTTTCACCGATACTAACGGTGTCTTGAGCCTTGCATGCTGACTCTTGTTGCTTCGACATCCGAAGTGATCCATTTCACGCTTCTGAGGATGCAGCAGTGGCTGAAGTAGTTCCCAACTTAGAGAACGAGTACAATGAGTGTGGCCAACGCACGACGGGAAATATATCTTTTGCACCTCGAGAATCCCATGTCGTGCTTTGGACACCATTCTCAACAAGCCAAAGCAACGATTGTCGGGCGTAGTTAACGGCCCAGGCAGCATGACGCAGCTATATGCAGCAATTTCGCAGTTCTTGCGCATCCTTTTTACACAGCTGGCGCAACTGGAAGGTGACGACGTTGTTTGCAGAAATGGCGCCCAAAGCACAAGCACATCGTTGGATTCTGAAGGCAAAAGCGCAATCCTTGCCCCAAAACAGCTGAACCGTCACAAACCGCTAGTTTGGTCTCGAGGTTGTTTCAGCAGCGAATCTACAGGGTGCGCGGTGTGCGAAAGAAACTCTTATGAAGGAAGAGCACCTTGCAAGAAATTTGTTCCTTGAACTCCGGCCAAGATATCGAGAACCAAGATCTTGGAATGCGCTAAGTCCTGCAATACCTGGATCTTCAAACGGCGCACATTTTTGCTGGCATTTTTCGGTGAAGAGACACCGCAATCAAAGAACCATGCCGTTTTAGAGGTTGCAAGCATATGCTCAAAATCTGTGGATGTTGGATGCCTAAAGCCCCAAGACTGTTCCTGAAGAGATGTGGACAGCGCATGACGTGCATTGGCAAAATCCATTTTTGGATTTTTACCTCTTGACCCACAGCCATGTTTCGAGTCCACCTTTCGAACCGCAAGGGGGTCGCTCAGCGCATATTGTGCTTGTCCGCCAACCATCTTCCAG